ATATTCATGTAGAATTTCTGAATTTAATACTTATAAATTCTCTATTTGGTTGATATAAGTAATTTATTGCCTTCCATTCGAATATTCAAATATTTACCAGTCTATTTCGATGAAAAAAATGCATCGATAACGTTCACCTATTGATTGTTAAATGTGCAATATTTTATTTTTGTAGAAATTTGATTTGAAATTAGGCTATCGAAGTTAAAAATAGAGACATTTATTCTTGCAATATAGCTCCCTGCAACCTCCATTTCAAATTCTTCCCAGTACTTTCCAAACGGCGAAATTAGCGGGCAAATAGTCAAATCGATAGCAGATCCGACAGTGCTGTGTATGCTTGTAATACGAGTGTTTTGTAACACTATACGATTCTAGCATTCGACAGCTGTTTGCGCTTTATTTTAGTTTGCTGTCATATTGTGAAATTTGTTCCTGAAGCATATTTAGAAAAGAATATATAGAAAAATATCATGCCTAAAGTACGCCGCAGCCGCAAACCACCACCAGATGGCTGGGAGCTTATCGAACCGACACTGGAGGAACTGGAACAAAAAATGCGCGAAGGTATGCACAAAGGCTAAATGCCGCCTCATGTACTGCACATATACAGAGATATATAAATACATATATATATATGTGTGTGTATGCAAGTATGTATGTTTGCTACTAAAATTGAGTTTTGTCTACTTACAGCTGAGACTGAGCCACATGAAGGCAAGCGCATCACAGAGTCGCTGTGGCCCATCTTTAAGATCCATCACCAGAAGACGCGCTACATATACGACTTGTTCTATCGCCGCAAGGCCATCAGCCGTGAGCTGTACGACTACTGCCTGAAGGAGAAGATCGCCGACATCAATTTGATAGCCAAATGGAAGAAGTCTGGCTACGAAAATCTATGCTGCTTGCGCTGCATCCAGACACGCGACACCAACTTCGGCACCAACTGCATTTGCCGCGTGCCCAAGTCCAAGCTCGAGGAGGGTCGCATCGTAGAGTGCGTCCATTGTGGTTGCCGTGGCTGCTCCGGCTAAGCCCTTAGCTAGAATTTTTTATACACAATTAGGACA